GTGCCTTTCAAAAATGACAAATATCGACCCAGAACTAAGAATCTACAAGTTTGAAGCGACAAGATTTTGATTTTCTATGTGGTATTCATGCAATCTTTTTCACCTTCTTCAGTCTGTATCCCCGGAGCTGGCACCGACACGGCTACCCCTGTTGCAGAGATGATCTGTGCTGCAGCTGTGCCTGCTGTTAAACACAGTTACAGAACTGAAACAGTTAGTATGCACTAAAGTGAGAACAGGGAAATTATAAATACTGGGTTCCTCCTCTGGAGGAACATTACTTGGACATTCATGTTATTACTTACAGAAAAGGAGACAGCATTAATTACACACACACAAATCTCCACCTGACATGACAGATAAAGGAACAAAGATGCCAAGTGTGACTCTATGTGTTTCTTTTAATCTGGCTTTACAAGCAGCTCAGCAATTATCCCAATTAATCCATACTGCAGTTGCTTAAGAAAAAGAGATAGAACATCTCAAGAGTCCAGCACCCAAAGTGAGCCTTGTGTGTAGAACTATGGAGCACAGTCATATATATCAGATTCCAAATATTCTACAGTACATAAACTTAATTAAAAACTAAGCAAAAACAGCTCAAGCCTTTCTAGGCAAATTTCCTTACAATCAAAAATAATGTTAATTCTAAAAAACTATAGCACACACATCTGCAACCATTCTCAAAGCCTATCTTCATCTGCTGTGGGATGTATGGTACAGGAGAACATTTGCACTTCTGCTTCTCTGTATGTGACATTCTGTAAGTTACCTTCTTTTTCCTCTGAAGGAGCAACAGCTTCTGTTTTGCTTGTCTGGGATTTGGGAGTAGGCTGTTTGGATTCTTTCATTACTTCTGCTACGGATGAGATCTTCAGAGGACCTTGCTGTATCTTAAGAATCAAAAGAAGGAAATACTGTCAGTTTTCCAAATAGTTTTTGTATGTCACCTACTCCACTAGAATGTCAAAGAATACTCCCACATCCAGACAGCTGTATTGTAAATTCAGCCTTCAATGTACACGTGAGAATGACAACAAGGCCATCTAGTTTTTCACCTTATTTTTTAATTTAGAGAGAATACTTATAATTTTCACTCCTGCAAAGCTGAACATTCAGTAGTAGCAGTTTCTTCTACAAACAAAAATGAGTTAAGGTATGTATACAAAGCTACCATTGTCATATTGAAAACGTGCCAAACATTTCTCCTGTAAAGAAAGATTGAGGGAACTGGACTTGTTTAGCTTAGAAAAGACTCAGGGAGACCTCATTGTGGCCTTCCAGTACTCGAGGGGAGCATTTACACAGGAAGGGGAACAGCTGTTTACAGTTGGATAGTGGATAGTGGTAGTGATGGGTATCTGATAGTGATAGGACAAGGGGGAATGGTTTTAAACTGAGACAGGGGAGGTTTAGGTTAGATATTAGGAGGAAGTTTTTCACCCAGAGGGTGGTGAGGCACTGGAACAGGTTGCCCAAGGAGGTTGTGGATGCCCCATCCCTGGAGACATTGAAGGCCAGGCTGGATGTGGCTCTGGGCAGCCTGGTCTGCTGGTTGGCGACCCTGCACATAGCAGGGGGTTAGAACGAGATGATCATTGTGATCCTTCTCAACCCAGGTCATTCTATGATCATTCCATTATAAAGGGAAATGTACAAGCAGCACTGTTACACAGCAGTCAGCAGTGGCTCTATTGAATTGGTAATTCATGAGATGAGTTTGAAACAGGAAAGGATCCGCAGTGTGGTTCAGTATCATCTCAAAGAATAACAACCTAAACCAAAAATGCTCAGTTTGTAATTCTTAAACCTAGTGCATAACAAAACTGATTAGAATTTGAAACCTAAGAGCAGACCTCTCTCTAAACAAGGAAAAGCAAAGTGTGTAGGAGGGCAGTGAATGGGAGACGCTTACCGGTTTCTTTGGCATGGGCACACTGTAAGGTGCAGGACCGAGTGCCATCTCAAACAGTTTGTCGGAGTAGGGAATGGCTTTCTCTACATTCTCCCGGAAACGTGGATCGTAGCTGGCATACAGGACGGTTCCCCCTACTCCTCCACCCACAAACAAGACACTGGCACCAATGATTTTGCCTGCAGAAACACTGGAGGGAAAGGGCGAAAGAACAAAAATGATGTAAATCACATTGACAAGAAAGCCTCCAACAGATTATAAAACTTCAGCCTACACCTGGGAACACCCACTGTGATCCAGAAGGCGGCCACCAACCCAAGAGTGTGGGACAGACCAAGGGATGGAAGGATCACCTCCACCCCTCCAAACCCTCCGACGCACCCGGACTCCCCTGACGTGGTCGCATATCCGCGGCTCAGTCGTGGTGGACGGAGTGATGCCCTCCTGCACCGGCAGTTCTGTGAAGGGTGGAGGAGAGCAAAGTCAGGCAGTGAGCACATCTCAGCCTCTCCTCATCCCAACGCACAGCAGCTCAGCTCGGTATGAGAGCTACAGCAGCAACCAAGCTGCTTTTACACTTGCAACTCCTTCATGAGACACAAACACGTTTCTTTTTGAGCTTCCCCAACAAGACATTCCCTAAAAGAGTAATGCAGCCACTTTCAAGACAGAGATCTGATTATACTATAAATGAAATTACCATGTGAGGAGTGTTATTTTACCACATTCTACTTAGCAGGGATAACGTTACCAAAGATTTTTATCTCCTATTTTACCTCAAAATGAAGATTTACCAGAAAAACTGGTTAAGCAGTAATTTTTTAAAGCTGCATCAGCCCCTTTGGCCATCACAATAATCTTGCTTTAATTCAAGGCCAGGCTAGATGTGGCTCTGGGCAGCCTGGCCTAGCAGGTGGTGACCCTGCACATAGCAGAGGAGTTGAAACTAGATGATCTTTGAGGTCATTTTCAACCCAGGCCATTCTATGATACTACAATGATTCTATTCACCACATCACCATAATGTGGAAAATTACAAGGAGTTTCCAATCTCCCCCACGAGCAGCTACCAGAGGTGTGTTACAAATAAGAACAGAGCTCCAAGGGCACAGTGTCTGGAAGGATCAGGAAGAAATGCATTGCATGTGGGTTGACAGAAATCTGTTCTAAGGAGTGAGGCAGACAGCACAGACCCCTGCACAGGGCACTGGGAACAGCTGGTGCCATTTCTTCCTTCTACCTCAGCACTCTTGTGCTATTTAGTTTACCTAAGTCCTGAAAAGCTTGTTTAATGTTAATTACCTGCTATTGCATTGCTACAAAAACCACAAGGTACATCACACCTTCCCTACAGCCAAGAACAGCAGGGACTCCAGCATTTGAGATGATGCACATCATTAAAGAACCCTGCCTCACACACACGTGGTTCATGCATAACCTCAAGCAGCAACACAGAGAGCACAATGTCATTCTCTGCATTCATTCAGTCCAAGCTAAACCTCCCACTCCCCTCTGGCTGCCCCATACCAGCTCAGGCTGCCCAGGGCTCAAACCAACCTGGCCTTGAGCACCTCCAGGGACGAGGCGCCCCCAGCATTCTGGGCAATCTGTGAGGTCCTTCCCAACCCAAACCATCCTGTGATTCTATGGCTCCTAAAGGTGACATATGAGATGCACTGCCAGAAGGAGCGGCCGATGTGCTTACAGCCTGCTGCCACTGGATGGATTTCAGCGATGGCTGAGGGATCAGTCAGGTGAGAAAGGGCTGAATTTCACAAACACTGGAAGGAACCCCGGGGGAAGGCAGAGCCTTGCAAAGCCAACAGCGCCTTGGTGACCCATCAGCACACAATGCACACAGAACGCTGCGCTGCCTGAGTCTGTCAGACCTTAACAGGGCAAAGGCACTGGAACAGGTTGCCCAAGGAGGCTGTGGATGCCCCATCCCTGCAGGCATTCAAGGCCAGGCTGGATGTGGCTCTGGGCAGCCTGGTCTGGTGGCTGACAACCCTGCACACAGCAGGGGGTTGGAACCAGATGAGCACTGCGGGCCTTTTCAACCCAGGCCATTCTATGATCCTGTGATTCAAAGCACAGCACCTGATTTCCAGCACTCTACAGCCATTCCGGACAGCTCTCGCGCATGCACAGCGCCCTATGTGACAAACACCAGCGGAAGTCTGCTCTCCATCTCTCCGCTCAGACTTTCCACACGCCCTGATCTCGGCGCGCACCAGCCGCCCTTGGCCGTAGCGCCCCACAGCCTCATTCAGTGGCCGTTTCCCTCAGTCAACGGCCGGTCCAGGCCTCGACGCGGGACCGCGGTGAGGCGCCCACCCCCCGCAAGGTCACGTCCTTCCCGCCGCCGGCAGGCCCGCCGTCCCGCCGCCCAGCAGCCGGCCGAGCGCCGCCGCCTCCGGGCCCAGCCGGCTCCATCCGGGTCACCCACAGCGGACTCCAAGGACCGTCACCCCTCGCGGCCGCCGCTTCCCGCCACCCTACGCAGATCAGGGCGCGCTGCGCGCCGGGACTCGTAGTGCAGCCGAGAAGCAAGCTGACAGCTCCCGCCCGCCGCGGCGCCCCATTGGCTCCCGCGGCCGTCCCTCAGAAGCCGAGCAGCCAATCGCGGCGGGCGCGTGCGGAGTCATTCAGAGCAGATGGAGCTGCGGCTGGAGGACGCGCCGCTCCTCAGCGCCTCAACCACGTGTCCCGCAGCGCGCTGCCCCCCGGCCCCGTCAGCCAAAGGGCGGACGCCGCTCGTACCGACCGGCGGTGCTTCTCCCACGAGGCCGCGCGTCTTCTCCCCACCAGCCCGCTCCGTTCAGCCCCGCTCACCTGCGCGGCCACCGCGACCCCCGCTCGCTGACAGGCCCGCAGCATCGCCTCAGAACCGGCGGCGGCCGAGGGCAGGCTGCAGGAAGGCGCCGCGCACGAGAACTCCCAGCGCCTCCCGCCTCCGCCCCTCACCGCGAGCTGGGCACGGTGCGCATGCGCGGGCCGCCCCTCCGGCGGGGGGCGTGGCCGCTGCTCCGAGAGAGTGACAGGCGACGCGCCCAATCAGAGAGGAACAAGCGGGTCATGTGTTCTGTCCGCCATTTTAGAAAGGGCCCGGAGGGAGCCGCGCTCCTCCCAGTGGGGACGCGGCGCTCTGCAGCCGTCCGGCGGCGCGGCCCGGCCTGACCTCCGCCGGCTGCCGTAGGCTGGGCGCGGGGACATGGCGGCGGCGGTGCGAGGGGCTCTGGCGGGTCCGTGTTGAGGGACGGAAGGGGGGAGGGAGGGAGGCGGCCATGTCGGAAGAGGGGGTGCCCGTGAAATGGCGGCGGTGCGGGGCCGCTGGGCGCTGCTGAAGGACGTCTCTCTCCGCAGGGATGCTGCGGCCGCTGGCGCGCTGGGCTCCCGTCGCTGCGGGACGAACCGCGTCCGTCCGGTGCTGCCACGGCCGAGCGCGGGCGGCGGCTCCGCTGGCGAAACCGCTGGCCCTCAGCATCGTGCCCGGCGCGGGCTCCTCCGCGCTGCTCAGCAGGTACGGGGCTGGCCGTGCGCCCATCCGACCCGGCCTTGAGCACCCGCAGCTCCGTGGGCGGCGGTGCCAGGGCGTCACCCTCTGGGCAGAGAACGAGCTCCTAGCATCTAACCTGAATCTCCCCCTTTTAGTTTTTTTATTATTCATCCCTATCTTGTTACTCCCGGCCTGCCGTTATCACACCATGTAGAAAGTCAGTCCCTCTCCTGCTTGTAAGCTCCCTTCAAGTACTGGGAGGCTGCAGTGAGGTCTCCCAGACCCTTCTCCAAGCTAAACAAATCCAAATATATCCTCCAAATAACTTCTGAATACCGGTGCAGCTGAGTGTTTACAGTTTAGCATTTAACCACGTTTACATTCCTGTTGTATTACCTCTTCCTTCTGTTTTCTTCAGACTCACACCTCTACTTCCAAACATACTTCAGCAGCCCGTGAGGCCTGTCACTTACTATGGTCTACGGAAGGGAAAGAGGAAGTCTGTGAAAGCTGTTGTTAAGAGGTTTCTCCGACTGCACAGTGGTCTTTGGGTTAGGAGAAAGGTACGATTTTGTTTTGTTGAGGTATTATAAACCTATTTAAAACAGTGGGCTCATTGAGGGTGGTGAGGCACTGGAACAGGTTGCCCAAGGAGGCTGTGGATGCCTCATCCCTGGAGGCATTGAAGGCCAGGCTGGATGTGGCTCTGGGCAGCCTGGTCTGCTGGTTGGTGACCCTGCACATAGCAGGGGGTTGTAACTGGATGATCAGTGTGGTCCTTTTCAGCCCAGGCCATTCTATGATTCATTGCTTTTGTTCTGATACACAGAGCTGGTATGGAAGTATGCATCTCCTGCACTTCCTGAAAGTGGGGGATTTGTGCTGGTTTGCTTATGGGTATTGCTATATGTGTGTATTGGCAGTAACCCACTGTGTATTTCCTTTTGACAGTCTGGTTACAAGAAGAAATTGTGGAAAAAGTCTACTGCCCAGAAGAAGCGTTTGAGAGAGTTTGTGTTATGCAACAGAACACAGTGTAAACTCCTGGATAAGATGACCACTTCTTTCTGGAAAAGAAGAAATTGGTATGTTGATGATCCCTACCAGAAGTATCACGACCGCACAAATCTTCCTGTATAGGAATATTTAATTATTTTATAAATAAACATATGCATATCATCTGCTCAGAATTATGGCCCAAAATAAAGGAATATTAAAGACTATTTTGAGGAGCAGTTTGTGTTTTACTTGGCAGTGATGACAGCCAGACTTGTCATCTATGTGTTCGGATGTCTGGTGGTTTCCTATGATTGTGTTTAATGTAATGTTTGTGGATGAATACAGTCTAAACATGACTAAAAAACAGTGAATAATTTAATTTTGAATTTTGTTAATAGAAATGTGTTTAACTTAAGGGTATTCTTTATGTCTCTGCTTGTTGGTAGCTCACTACATGGAACCTTCCTTGGGTATGGGAAGAAAGGAGAGAGGGATTCCAGTGTTGCTGCTTGTTACTGTACCATGCAAACTGTTGCCCTGTTTCCATGTTACATTCAGCTTTGCTAACTTACTTAAAGAGGCATTAGCCAAATTTCTTAATAGAAAATTTCTTAATAGAACCTTCCCTGTAGGACTCAATTTTGTCTCTTTTGTTGGTTTTTGAGTAGTGGAATAGATTTGCTGGGTCCTCACTTACACCATCATAGAATGGCCTGTGTTGAAAAGAACCACAATGTTCATCTAGTTCCAACCCCCTGCTATGTGCAGGGTCACCAACCACCAGACCAGGCTGCCCAGAGCCACATCCAGCCTGGCCTTGAATGCCTGCAGGGATGGGGCATCCACAGCCTCCTTGGGCAACCTGTTCCAGTGCCTCACCACCCTCTGTGTGAAAAACTTCCTCCCAGTATCTAACCAAAACTTCCCCTGTCTCAGTTTAAAACCATTCCCCCTTGTCTTATCACTATCCACCCCTGTAAACAGTTGTACCCCCTCCTGTTTATACACTCCCTTCAAATAGTGGAAGGCCACAATGAGGTCTCAAGCAGTCAGTTTTAAACATTCTCTTGTTCTTTACGTGCTGTACATCTCAGTTTGCGTGCACAGCTGAAACAAGGCCAAGGATTTATTATAGGATCCTTTTGCAATGTAAGCTGCAATGTAACTCGTCTGCTTTCACTTTCAAAGGGCTAGGTTAGAGGCTTTCTCTACAAAACCAGTGACTGAAGTATGTGAAAAGCAGTTGCTTTCAGCAGCAGTTTGAACACATCCACTAGAATTGAGCCCATTATTAATTAGGTAGTCCCTGTTTATCAGCTCCAGAGCCATCTGTAATAGTAGGAGATGGTTTGCTGCATCGTGTGTCAATGAATTCACTGGTTACTCAGAGTGTTCAGTAGCTGTATTTTTTCCAGTTCATCATACAGAAAAGTTGTGAAGGACATGCAGCACTTAGTGAGTACATCTGTATACAGTCAGCCGGAAGTGAGATTAAAAATAATACAGCAATCAAAGGAATGATTCTGGCCTGCCAGATACATTGAACAGACTAAAGTTGTTTTGATTTTTCTTAAAGAAAAGATTAAGACTTTATTCAAGATATATATCAAGCAGTATAACAAAACCAGCAAAACATCCACCTTTGGAATACTGTTGTCATTGTTGCGAGGCATCACATCTATAATTTCATCGCATCTCTTCTACTGATCACAGGAAAGGAACCACGTGAGGTGCACAATGATAATTCTTAAATAGTCTGTATAACACAACTCCCAACACGGTGTTCTCTGCTATTTCAAATACAGTGCTGGGTGCATAACAGGTACCCAAAACGAACACCAAAAGGCGACTGTGATTAACGAGCACTCTGTCACAAGTTCAGGGGTTTCATCGCTACATGAGAGCACTTCAGAAAGCAGTCAGAGGCAGCAGGTTGTTTACATGAGGCTAAGGGGCGCTGGATCTCTCCAAGCAGTTTTCTCCTTCTCATTAAGAATAAATAACCTGATTTTCCTTTTCTGTCTGTGCTGGGTTTGCATTTACACAATTTAGATTAGTGTGGGATTATTGCAAGGTGATTGGTGGTGATACATGAAGTCTTTCTAGCTGATGTGATCCTGATTCAGCAATCGCTGAGCACTGACTGCACTGACACTGGCCACAACAGCAAGAATGAAGGCATGGGGACTGCACTGAACTGCTCTGAACTTACTGTGTTCATAACTGAGTGTGTTTATGGTGCACTTAGTGAACTTACAGACTCATTTACCACAGATCATCTTCAGATGCAGTTTTCTTCCTTTCAGCATCAACTTAAAGTAATGCATGTTCCTTGTGCTGGTTAAAAGCTGTATTTTCTAGGACTGACCTATTTGAAGCAGGCTCAGCACAAGCCAGTAGTGTGCAGCCAAGAGCTGAATGTATTTTGGGATGCATTAAACAGAACGCAGCCAGCAGGTCAAGAGAGGTGATTCTCCTCCCGTATTTAGCTTTGGTGCAGCCTCATCTTGAATACTGCTTGCAGTTCTGGGCTGCACAACACAGAAAGGATGTTAAGGTTCTTGGATGCATTCAGAGGAGGCACCAAAGCTGGTAGCAGGGCTGGAGGCACGTCCTGTGAGGAGGCTGAGTGCACTGGGGGTGTCCAGTATGGAGAAGAGGCTGAGAAGTGACCTCAGTGCTCCCTGCAGCGCCCTGGGGAGAGGAAGCAGAGCGAGGTGCTGGGCTCTGCTCCTTCCTGGGAACTGGTGGCAGAAGGGGAATGGCACAGAGCTGTGCCATGGCTGGGCATTGGGAAACATTTCTGTACCATGAGAAGTCAGATAAAGGAACAAGCTTCCTCGAGGGGTGGCTGATACCCCAAGCCTGCCAGCATTCAAGAAGCATTTGGATGGTGCTCTCAATGCCACGTTTTGGTTAGCCCTGCAGAGGTCAAGCAGTTGGACTTGATAATATTTGTGAGTCCCTTCCAACTGAACCATTCTATTCTCTTCAGGATTACATTCTCCAGCCCATCTCTGCTAAGTCAGGAGGTGTCTGCCAGCCCTGCAGGACTGCTGGTGGAGCCAGCTGCCTGACAGGCCCCTACATCCGTACTTCTCTTAAGCTGGGGAATCCCAGATCTTGAAGCTATTTTAAACCATTGACTGCAAAGTGGCTTGCTTTTAGGAGAAGTAATCTGCAAGCTGTTAGCCGGGCTGCAGCCCTGAGCCTGAGCTGGGAGGAAGAGAAGTGCTTCCCATCCCTATGCGCTGAAGAAGCCACCGTCTGTGTCCTCTGACCACGTTCTGCAAACCCTTTGCCACGAGGGGTCAGCATCAGTGCAGGAAGGCGGCTTGCTGAATCAGCTCGTTCCCGTGGCAGAGAAAAACTGCAACAAAAGACTTCATGTCTGATGTTTATTTTAAATAAATGCAAATAGCCACAGGGTGAAATGACAGAATTGGGGCAACACCTGTAAACAACCTGTGTGTGGAAAACGAGGAATCAAAAGCAAATGACCATTCTCTTCTGTACACAGAACACTACAGCACAAAGTGGACGTGGGTCAGCATTCACATTTCTTGTCTATCTATACACAAATATACAGCTCCGTTGATAAATTAATACATTTTTGCCAGAGATATGAAAAGGTTTATTTTTCTCATTTATACAATGAATGTTTGGAGAGATATAAGGCAACTCCCTTGTCAACAATTTCACCTCAGCACTTAAGAAAATCCAAACAGTCAAGTTTACAGTAAAACAGCAGATTAGACACATTTAATAATTTTAGTGAGAATCAATGTTAATACAGCATGTCTGAGAATAAAATTTATCAGCTGTTATGTAGCTCTATGTTTCGTGGGGTTTTTTTTGGCATAATTGAGTGCAAACTTGTCAGCTTTTTCTCTTATGGCAACCTATTGCATAGCAGGGAAACACAGCTTGCTTGCAACAGGATCTCATTTCTGCTAACACTGCAGGCAGTTTTGCTATTTCTTTTTAATGTTTGCCAAAATAAATCAAACAAACTTTAAAGCTGCTTCAAAATAAAACACACAAGCTTAGCTCCTACAAGCATTTGCTGAGTATCTTATAAGGACTGACTCTCCTGTAACTGCTATTTATATTTGCTTCTTTTCAATGTATTTTCTGAAGGCTTCTTCCTTCTTACCCACTGGAAAATACAATTGAATTAGCACGTGTAAAGGAAACACAGTTCTCAGATAATGGGGCCAAATATCATGGCAGACTCAGGAAATACCTGCTTGCTTTTTCCACTTCCAAGCCAGGTCGGATAAACATCAGTGTGTGTACATGGGTTATTTCTCTCTTCCCCACATACACAGGAAGCTCTGGGGAGACCTCGAGGATGCATCAGGCAGGGACAGCTAGGCTGCTGATGCATATCTGGCAGAGAAAAGGTTTTAAAGGCCACTTCAGATTTATCTCTGAGCCTGATACACTCCAACCGGCATCCCAGGCTGCTGCACCTCAGCTAGGTTAATTGTACTACTCGGGTTCTGGCCCATCATTCATCAGTGAGGGCACGTTCCATGTTGTAATGCTAAATGGTTTTCTACTCTATGAGATAGGTCCAAGAGCAAACACAAAGGGCCACGTAATTAACTTATGTGTGAATTTCACATGCTTAACACTTACAAGAGACACCAACTTGAAGCACAAATACACAAACCCTACAACATCTTCCTGTTCTTTTATATTTCTCGTTTATATATGGATACAAATACAACACTCCACCTTGGTTCTCGTGGTTCTAACCAAACTCCATGCTACAGGCAAAACTCCAGGCCTCAAAAAGCAGCTGAGCCCCAGCATCCTGCTCTGCTTGTGTAAGGAAAACTCCAGCACCACACCAGGAAAGCAGAACGCTGGGACTGGGACTGGTAGGGGAGAACGGTTCATTTTCCCCTGGAAGCGAGTCACTAAAGCAATTCTAATGTGCTGCTGCAGCTACTACACGACTGCCTTGCTCATACTTCAGCACTGCCAGTAGAACATTTGCCGCAAGCGATACGATCCAGTTTTGTAGCCGCCATCATTTTCCACACAATATTCTCCTGGCTCAGGATGATCAAAATTAAGACTCCCCCTTCATTACATTGTTGAAACCGATCATTTTCTCTTGCACATCTCTTCCTCATCCTAAGTTCTGTCTCTGTGCCTTTTTAGCACAAAGATTTAATCAGAATACATTTGATCCACTTGCAGAAAGAGAAACAGCATTACAGCTCAGCTTTTCCTAACGAGTCTTGGACATTTTCAAACAGCTAAAGCACTCAGGCATTTGTTACATCATTCACAGGCCTGAGGAGGAAGAGAGGGAAGAGAAATCCATGGCTTCTGCAAATCCACTTCCTTAATGATAAATAAATACACTGTCGAGTATCATCACGAGCAACTGATTATTTTTGTTGTTGCTGTGCATTCACAGAGCTAGAGCTATGCAGACACAATGAGAACTGTAAATGTACAGCCATACAGGTTAGCGTGAGTGGGGATACACTGCAAACAAAACAAGAACTCTTCATCTGCAGCTGTCTGTCAGACTGTCCTAACCATGTTGCTGACAAACGCGAGAAGCGTGGAACGGGGTACAGAGACAGGAGCGA